ATGATACTACGTCTTAACAACCACACCATTACCATTCATAACTTCTGGCCAACCTCTTGGAATAACATAATAATGAGCAATAATATTTCCTATCAACATATTCATCAACATACAAGACAGTCACGCAGAACCTCCCTAAAATGACCACTTCAACAATTTACCAATTTTCCTGCCAATCGCTCGGAATAACCTAACGTCCTAACGACCATCCCAACTTAACCTACACATCGATTAAACCGAGAAGTCACACAGATAACTCAAAACTTCCATAACATATAACAGAACGAGCATCTTCCCTTAACAAGTTCAACAACATCACAGGCAACAATCACAATTGCGAACAATCCTCCATAACAAACATCACAAATCCCTTTATAAGGTCAGAACCCCACCATTACCTGGATTGAAGTTTGCTCAACCAAAAACTCTAGCCAACGGCTTTACTTCATTCTGCTCGACACCAGACAACTTGCTTCTCTTCCGTGCAGCTCTACCGGTCAGCGTACACTGCTTCTTATTCTCCAACTAAAACAAATCCTTGTGTCAACTTAGCCTTATATAACAATCCTCTTGGGCCTAACCTACACCCCCACTTTACTACTTCTAATCAATAGCATAAGTCCAACATTATTTCATATATTCCCTTTAATTCCTCATTATAATTATTATTAACAACTAATTAATTAATTAATAATAATCCAATAACTCACACCGATAATTCTTAACATCTCGCAATTTCACAAATAATCCAAAAATAATTTAATTAAATAAATAATTAATTAATTAAATTACCGGTGTTATAGTCCTCGTCTCATATGAAGAACACCAAAAATCATTGCCACCTCCTTGACACACGGACTAACTCTAAGTCATCACTCCTACGTCTAGGAGCAACAAATTAGGTGGCTCTTATTCTGGACTGGCCCAACTACTAGAATTATCCTAATTCGCTCCTATCTTCCACAGGGCCCAACAACATTGGCCCATTAACTCTGGCCCTTATGTCTGTAATCCATTACTTACTCGGAGAAATAGCTAGTTACGAGCACGACTGCCCGTTTTGACTAGGTCCTTGCAGTTACCTATTTTTGAGGAACCTAATATATAGGCCCAAAAATAGGAACTAATGGCTAAGCGTCGGGGGCATTATATAAATCCTCACACTTCTGAGGCCCAAGTATCCAATATTCACTCTAAAAACCTTAATTCCTTTCTTGTATCTCTTTGCATCCGTTCTTACTTGATCGTCAGAGTTCCTTGCAGGTACACCCCCTCCCATCCTCAAATTTCTAGCCTAGCAGATGTCATCTCTTCAGCTCACTTTCAGGTTCTGATCAACCAGTAAGATCAATAGGCCTCGGCCAAATCTCTGACTAGAAACATGGATAAAATAGTGTTGGGCTTCGTATAGTTCACATAATTGAAAATCCTAAGTGTGATAGATTTTCGGGTTAATTCAAAAATTTAGGTCCAATCGACTCAAAAGTTGGGATAAACAAACACTAACCCAATTGCTCTGTGATACTGCCAAAGATGATAACCTAATTGGCGATCAATCAAAAGGGCTCCATCCTAAGGCCGAAATCATGAAACGTCTTATGAAAATGTTAGACGTAGATCCTAATAAACTTAAATACAAAACATTGGGTTGTAAAGTCAATAATGAATAAGTAAAAGCTGAATTTATAAGCCGCATGAGGCTATACATTACCTATGCTTAGAACCTACCAGATTCAAAGACTTCAAACTGGTCGAGATCCACCAGGGATCTCCGACTTCCCAAGGTGTAGAATTTTACCAAGTGCTACAACGACCATAAGTCAAGAACCAACTAGGAGTCTTCAGTTTTCTTCACAATCGTGAAGACTCTCCGACTTCTCTTATTAAGAGTTGAAACCCTTTATTTGACCATGACTATGAGAAAGAAAAAGGAATATAATATCCATAAACATTGTTCTTAAATAACCCACTACCAAACGTCATCCAATCGGGAGGAAATTATTATAAAAATTAATCGAGGATGAGTGGAGAGAATTTCAGGGTTGCTTGTCTGAAACACTTCAACCCGATATGTTTCGTGATCGAGGGGCTTATGTACAACCCTTAATTTTGAGCTGAGTAGTACAATCGGATATACCGATCAATGCTAAAACGATAAAGGCCGACTTGTTGTAGCATAACTGTGTTGTGCGACTTGGTTGGTTATCCAGATAAGTCATCAGTTCTGTTAAAAAATTTAATAGGTGTTGGTTATAGATCATTGATGAAGTTGGTTACACGTGATTAATGAACATGTTATAGTACTTATCGGCGGTTACAAACGTTACAAATACTTATTGGTGTCATTTTTTAAAACTTATGATTAACAATTAGGGTTTTCAAATTATTACCCGGTTAAATCTTTATGTTAGATTGAAAAGTGATAAATTATTATATGACGTTAAAAATTTTAAAATTACTTTTTAGAATAAGTATTTTTTTTTTATATCTTATTAATTAAAGTTGTTAAGTCTCTTAAAGAATTTTTTAGAGCCAAAACTAAGGTTAATTTTGTCATTATTAATATTAATTAATTAATTTATTATTAACTAAAACTACTCATTCCCATAATTTAAGGATTTACTTTTTATCTTATTTGTTTTATGTGGCTAACTTATTTATTTATTTCCTAAAATTGTGAATTTGAAAAACCATCATCTCAATAATTAATTAATTAATTTATTTATTAAATTAATTTATTTACATAAAAAATAAAATAAAAAAGGTAAAAAAAATTGTTCCTAATAAATTTAACCCACACGTTCCAAATAAAAAATGTCCACTATCAATTAGGTTTTATCAAATAATTAGTTTATTAAAATTAATTCAAATATATGAATATTATTCTTAATAAATTACATATCTCCATTCTTAATTAAATGAAAATTATTCTTAATAAATTACATACATCCATTCCTAATCAAATGCACACGTTCTAAGTAAAAAAATTGTTTATCAACATATAATAATGAATTAACTTATTAAGATAACCCTAATAAAGGATTATTGCTCCTAATGAACTGCACACCTCCACTCATAATAAATTTTTTATAGTTAATATAGATCATCAAATTCAATCCACTTTTTTTCCTTCTTCTAATATTTATGCTTTTATTCTATGCTTTCATTATCATAAGATCTTCTTCCATATCATTTTCAAAATTTAAATTATTTATTTTGTTGTTATTTTTTTATACTAATTTTTTTCATTGTTATTGCAATTGTAGGCAAAATCTAAATTACAATGATATTTAAAAATATTTTTAGATGAATTTTATGAGTCTTCTTTCTTCTTTCTTATTTTCTCTATTTTAAATTATTTATGTTGTTACAATTTTGTTGTGTTAATTTTTTTTCCCAATATTATTGTAATTGTAGCCAATATCTAAATTACAATGGTATCTAAAAATATTTATAGATGATCCTTATAGTTCTTCTTTCTTCTTCCTCCTTTTATCTTTTAAATTAATTATTTTATTATAATTTTGTTGTATTAATTTTTCTTAAGTTGTTATTGTAATTTCAAGAAATATCTAAAATACAAAATATACAACGATATCAAAATATTCATAGATGAAGTGTGAATCTCATTATCATTATTGTGATTTTTATTATTTTTCTTATTTATTTATTTGTTTTAATTTTATTGTCAAAAAATTTAGTGTGAGAGTGGTGAATTAAAACAAATGCCTTTCTTTTTTATTTTGTTTGTTAATTTTTTATTATGTTTTTTAAATAATTAATAATATTAAATTAATTAGTATTAAAAATATATTTTCGAAATAAAATATAATATGTGTTATAGAACTTCACTTTACTAAAAAAAAACACTCTATTAGTTATTTATTAGTGATAATGTAATTAAAAATAATAATTAAATATTAATATAAAGTATGGCTAAAATTAAGAAATTAATTTATGTAATTTTATTAAATAAAAAATCCAAAAAATAAATAGATTACGTATCACATCCACTACTAATTAAAATCAATAAATAAAAACTAACCTATTAATGTAACCAACAATAATATATCAAAGAGAATCTCCCACTAACACTAACCACCTATCATAACTTTTTTTCCTATTAATTCACTCATTAATTAATAATAATAATAATAATAATAATTATTATTATTTTTATTAGTTGACTAAATAAAAGGACTTAAAAAATATGATAAGTTGTTTTTTTTTCTTATTACTTTTTAAGCCTCTTTGTATAATCTATTAACTATAATAAATAATAATTATTCATAGATTTTCATTTATAATTTGTCTAACTACACATTCTTTTTTTTAATTATATAATAATAGATTTATTTTTTAGGAAGATAGTGGATTAGAAGAAATCGATTGAGATATGTAGTATTAATTATCTTTTCTAAATTTTATTAGTATTGTAATTTTGTGATTGAAGTCTAGACCATTTTTTAAAATCTTTTATCATATATAAAATTTATATTTTTCTATCTTAATTTCGTAAATTTATTTATTTTCTATTTCAATAATTAATTTGATGTTAAATATAACTCATCTATTTTTTTAATTATATATTTTATAAAATTTATTTTAAATTGGTAAAATACTATAAAACATTAAAACAACTAAATTATATTATAAGCAAGAGATATAATTCATATAAAAATTATTTATATTAATATTTTTTAATTATATTAATATATTAATATTTAAATAAAAACCGTGTATCGCATGAATGTACTTCCAGTACAAAATTAAAATAATAATAAGTAGAGAGATGCCAACATAATGATATATTGGACTGATTTGCTACGGCCCAAGAATAAATACAAAGCCCGTAACATGGGCCGGGTCTATTAACCCTAACTAGGCCCATCAATTGCATGAAATAAGGAACATTTATAAACCGAAAAACTCCATCGTTTAAACCCTAATCGTCTTCCTTTCAGCCTCCTCCGAAATCAATTCTTTGCAGAAGGGTAGCCATGGTGAAGTACTCTCAAGAGGCCGACAATGCCACCAAATGTAAATCCCCTCTCGCCGTCTTGATTCATATTAGTTTTTATACTTTCTTTGTTTGTGTATGATTACCTTTCGTTCAAATCAGTATTTAAATTGAAGTGTTGATTTTAGATTAATTTAACCTAATTACTGTTTCTCTGTTGTAATTGCAGCAACCAAGGCCAGAGGCGCCGACCTTAGGGTTCATTTCAAGGTACTTATTTCTCTCACCTTTTTGTTCATCACTCATAGTGAATCGAAAATATTAGATTTTTTAGTAATTAAACATGGGTTTAAATCTTGAGATTCTTTATCATTTTTATATTTCATATGCTATATCCACTAGTAATTAGGGGGCAATAGTTGATCTACTGAATTTGTGTTAAAAATTAGATTCTATCTATTAATATAGTTTTTCGTTTTACTTGATAGTTTACTTTAGATTTGTTTTTACTATGGTTTTATATCAGGAATGTGAGATTTTTTTTATTTTTTAAATTTCCTTTGCAGAACACTAGGGAAACCGCGTTTGCCATCAGGAAGTTGCCACTCACCAAAGCCAAAAGATACTTGGAAGATGTTTTGGCCCACAAACAGGCCATTCCTTTCCGACGCTTCTGTCGTGGTGTTGGGAGGACAGCCCAAGCCAAGAACAGGCATTCCAATGGGCAAGGACGTTGGCCTGCCAAGTCTGCTAAGTTTATTCTTGATTTGCTCAAGAATGCTGAGAGTAACGCTGAAGTATGTCTTTTGTATTTTGCATTTGTTATTGAGTTTTATATATGATGTATTTACTTGCATTTTGATGTTTTAAATCAAATTTCAATGACGTTGTTCTATTGATTGTTGTCTATTTCCAGGTGAAAGGTTTGGATGTGGATGCTCTCTATGTTTCTCATATTCAGGTCAATCAAGCTCAAAAGCAAAGACGTCGTACTTACAGGGCTCATGGAAGAATCAATCGTATGTTGAGCCTTTCTTAGTCTCGGAATGAATTCTTTATTGTTTGAATATACTATATCTTATATATTTGTGTTTTTTTTTGTTAGCCTACATGTCATCCCCATGCCACATTGAGCTCATTTTATCTGAAAAGGAAGAGGCTGTCCAGAAAGAGGTATAGATTGGTCATTTTTACTGTTGAAAATTGATTTATCTCTCTGCACCATACTTATTTTTGATATTATTCTTGTAGCCCGAGTCCCAGTTGGCGGCAACAAACAAGAAGAAGTCTCAAGCTCTTCGAAGTGGTGCTTCGTCTTAAATTGTTGTTTGAGCTAATAGTTGAGGGCCCTTCATTTCTAGATTATGTCATTTTTGTTGCACTTTCTTTGTTATGAGCTGTTTTTGAAGTTTCAACAGCAGTTTTTGATTCACACAGTATGGTTTATGTTAATTGACATGTTTGTTAAATTTTATGGTGGTAATTGCATGATTGATTTGAGTTTTATTTACCTGGACTGGGCATCAAATATCTGTGCTGAGTTTGTCTGCTGTTTCCCTTTTCGCCTATGTGGCCACAAGTCACAGCTCAGGGGAGATTGTTATATTTTTCCATTATGTTCATGCTTTGGCGAGATCCATTTATTCTGTTATGGTGATTTGCTTCTTTCTGCTTCTCTCTTTTGGTGGTTGCTCACAAGCCGTAGCTCAGTAGAGATTGTTATATTTATCAATTGTGTTCATGCTTTGTCCAGATCCATTTCTTCTGTAATTGTGATTTGCATCTTTCTGCTTCTCTCTTTTGGTGGTTGCTCAGTGTTTGCCATTCCACTTGATTTCTTCAATTCAATTATAGTTTTTAAAACTGTTTACATACCTAACCAGTTTGTACAGATTCTGAAACTATTTTATAAATTTCAAAACATAAGAGTAGGATTTGAGAATGTAGCCGCCTGGATGATTGAGTGATCATCCCGTTGTGATTTTCACTTTTGTCATTAAGAAATATATGAAATATGTTTTTAGATGACTAACGTAAATTCTCTTTATGTAATTATAATGTTCAGAAATTAATATAAGATGAAAGATTTTTATCTTTTTTTTTGGTTGTACATTCATGTAATTTTAATGTTCAGATATTAATTTAAGATGAAAGATTTTTATCTTTTTTTTTAGTTGTACATTCTGCTGAAGTCCTCTCATTCCATTCCTTCAAGTTTTTAAAAGTTGTGGCTTGTACTATCCTAAAGTAATCGGTTACAAATAGCTACTTAAAGTTGACAGATGAATCAATTGTTGTTATTTGCAATTTCAACTAGTCTAATGGTTTCAATTCTAGTCGACTTCTTCAAAGTTTTAATATCTTTCTTTTATAAGAATCAGAATCTCTTTGCCATTAATATGGCATTGTGTTTGATCACTTCACCTTTGAGATTTATTTTCACTTTACATGCCCATTTTACGTCAATTAACTTTTTTCTTTGAGATAGATCAATTAGTTTCCATGTTTTGTTTTTCTCCATTGACTCAAACTCCTCCTTCATTGTACATATCAATTTTGGATCACTCTAGTCCTCCTTGTTTTCACCGAATTGGATTCAACCATCACTATAAAATGTAAAAGATCACCATTATCCTTTACTTCATTATCTGGGAACAATTCATAATATTGTAATCTCGTAGACATGCCACTTTGTCTTATTGATATTCTCACATTTTCTTCCAGTTGAAGTTGAACTTCACTAGTTACAGTTTCTAGCCCTCTAAACACCGTAGAAATAGATTTAACGTTGTGGTAATCAATTACATATGGCTAGTAATCGATTATGATCAAATGCCAATCCCTGATTTCATTTCATAAAAAGTCACATCATACTTATTACAATCTTTTGTTAATTGAATCATAAAATTTGTAACCACCCCTTGAGTGATATCCAACAAGTGTCATTTGATCTCCCTTGTCATTTAGCTTCTTCTAAGTTGATCTAAAACAAGTCTATACGTCATCGAACCACGCACCCTCAAGTGACTCATACTTGATTTTAATCCATACCATGATTCTTTGAGTGTGATACTTTTTAGCTTCTTTGTTAGATATTTATTCAACAAATATTTGAGTTGTGGACCTCAATCTGCAGCAGGTGCCCTGTTTTGCCACAAAACTGTGTTTTGATGAATGAGAAGGTTTGAAACTTGGTTGGTTCGTGTTTTAGGTCTGGTTTGATGTTTGGAAAATGTTCACAATGTTTGCTTAGGCTTGTGTTGACAGAAATGTGAGTTGTTGTTTCAAAATGCAAGTTTCTTCTATCTGAAGCAAGGAAATGTGAGTTCCTATACAAGCCTGTCCCAAGCCCTAAACTATGCTGCACACTTGAGTCTTGATCAGTGGGATATGTCCATGAATCTCGTGTCCAAAGATATGGCCTGTACTTCTTGGGTTGTAAACTTGACATAAAGTGTAACTTTACAAGAATGGATAACTTGCTTTTTCTAATTATGGACTAATCCTTCATGTAATGACCAAATGCATAGAATAATATCTTGGCACAATGGTTTAGCATTTAATTTTTGAGTGTAAATGAGATTAGAGGCCTGTAATGTAGCTTGCACATGCTGATTTCAAAAATGCACAAGTTATGAACATGTACATGGCTTATGAACAAAGTGACTTTTGCCCATCTTCACAAATTCGATTCTCCCTAACCACAAGGGTGTTTGAGAAGTTCTTGAACAATTTGGAAAGCTTGTAATACAATCCATCTTTGTAATGCAAATTGAAATTCCAAGTGGAAGCATGTGAAAAGTGGCCATGAAGTTAAGCAAAAATCCTGCCTAAAATAGGTCAAAAAATTTCTAAGTTAAGAATGTTTTGCACCCTTGTTCCAAAAATCACAACTTGAGCTACAAGCTTCTTTTGAGGAAACTTTGTGAATCAAAATTGTAGATTTTGCAATGGACTACAACTTTAATGTTTTGAGTTTTCCTTGAATCCAAATGTATCTTGATGAAAAAATGGGACAAAGTTAGGAAAAAAATAGGAATTTTCATAACTTAGAAAAATTCTAAGTTATGAAAATTCTTCATTTCAAACCCTAATTTGTAATTCTTGATTTCTTGATGAACAAGTTTCATAATTTGACATGTCTTGATGAAAAATGAATCTTGACACTTGATTTTGACCAAAAAGTCAAAGTTTGACTTTTCAGTATACAGTCAAATTTGGCTCAGTTGACTGGAAAATTCATCTGTCGATCTTGTGCATTTGGGATCTTTTGAATTTGTTGAACATGTCAAGACAATGCCATTGGGTCCTTGAGTCCATATGTGAGCTTGGTTTACTATTGGCTAGGTCAAACAGACAAAAATTGCCTTTGTGCAGTCAAAACCCTAAAAATGACCATTTTGCCCTTTTGATGATCTGATCAAATTTCTTGTGAAATTGTGATCCAAACTTGATCAAATGGTCCATATGAGTTCATAATGTTGATGTGGGTCAAAAATCATGGGTTTTGACTGTCAATTGACCATAATTGACTTTTTCCCCAATACAGCTGATTTATAGGTCAACTGTCCAATTGACTGGGCAAAGATTGGAATCATGGCTTGAAACTTGGTATGGATAAACTTGTGAGTCCAACATGAAGCATGAAAGTCATCTTGGGCCTTTTGGGTCAAAACATCTTTGTGCAAACTCAAACCCTAATTTGGGTCAACAATGCAAGGAAGAGTCTTGAGCAGAGTAAACCCTAACTTGTTCTTGAGCTCCAAGGGTCTTGTGATGAGAAAATGTTGAGGAAATGGGAGGGCAAATTTTGGGGTACAACAGCGAGACTTTTCATATCTTTGACCTATCCATTCTCGTTTGTCCACCAAATTGAACTATACCTTGATATAACAATCATCACATTGACTAAGAGCAATTATAAAAGTTAACTAGGCATCACATATGTTTCATTTTTCATCAAGATGTTTGAGTCCAAAGGATCCCAAATGACTTCCAAGGTCCTAAGATGTTCTCAAGATCATCCATGTCAAGTTTCAAGCCCTGCAGAGGAAGTTTGCTATGTCAATTGCTCAGATGCCTGAAAGTCAACCATGCTAGCTCAAAAGTCAATTGTGGCCCACATACAGTCAAATTTCAAGATTTTTGGTCAACATCCTAATTTTGAAGCATTATTCATCATTTTATGAAGGGTTGATCATGATTCCTCAAGGATTGCTCACAATTCATCAAAATCCAAAAGTTGCTAAATTAGGGTTTTGTAGGAAAAGTCAACTCAACTTTGACCAAGCATAACTTTCTCATACTTTATTAGAAATGACCCATCCAAAGCTCATTTTGAATAGGATGAAATTACCTACAATTCATCTTCAGCTCCCAAGTTCAGAATATGCACTCACAAAAAGATATGAATTTTGACATTATAGGTCATTTTGAAAAGTCAACAAAAAGACCTTTTGGGTCAAAGCTTCATACATGAACATGGAAGACTCAATTGAGATGAGACCAAAAGGATTGCTTAGGGGACATCCTAAGATTTCTAAAAAGTCTAAGAACACCTCTCTAGGGACAAAATTGAGAGAGTTATGCATTGGCCAAGTTGACCTTTTTTGCAAAATTGCCAAAAGATAAATGTGCTCAAATTTGCATTTTTTTGTCAAATGGGCCTAGTTTTTCATGACTGAATCTTGCCTATGACATGGTCCACATTCCAAATCAACACCCACACACCTTTTTCTTTATTTATTTATTTTATTTTGATTTTTATCATTTAAAAGTTAAATTAAATCAAATAAATAACAAAAAATATCAAAGATTTGATTTGTGATCAGATTTTGGGTGGAATCAAATCCAATTATGCTGGAAAATCATATCCAAAACGTGCAAAACAAATTGAACCAAAATTGGCATGATTTGGCTTGATATAGAAAGATATCATACAAGGATAAAGACGAAATCAAATCTTCATAATGGACAAGATTCAACTCGTTTTTGTTGACTTAATGTGTTGCATTACATATACATAACATAGCCAAGGCAAGAGGAAGGGGTTAGAGGTCGTACAGAGCCAAGAGCAAAATTGAAAAAGTTCAAGAAAAGTGGTGATCCAATTTCCATCCTAGAGGCCAATTCAAGCCATTCTCACAATACCAACAGACTCCTGGACATCTCCAGAAGGGATCTCAATCAAGTGCATGCCTTTTTACGTCTGGAATTGTGAGTTACAGGTACCACGGTTTGCCTCCAAACTCAATTTCGATTTCGTCGATTTACTCATTATACGCATGTTTCGATTATATATTCTTGTTCATCATTGAGTTTGCAAACTATTGGCACCATTTAATTGCATTTTTGATGCCTGTATATGATATTTCCATAGTTAGGGTTTTGTGTTCTTGTTTAGGGGTTTTCAATGCAGGCAAAATTGGGCTTGGATTCTGGTACCATGATACTCGTGAGGATGAGACGAGTTGATTGGTACCTTTGAATTTCATTTATATTGCTTGTATATAATTTTTGAATGGCAAAGGTTTGTAGCTACAACAAAGCAACCGTAGGTAAAAGTTCTGTTACCTAAAATGATGGTTTGAGGAAGAAGATGAGGCGTGACACTCTTGGATTGGTTGATTTGAATTTTAGCGCTTTTTTTTCTTCCTGAATATGTCCCATGATTTGCTTATATTAATTGTTTCCATTATATTAACAAATAAGCAAAGCAGCTCAGTTGGCAAGCGTGTATTGGAAATGTGCATAAGGACCTGGGTTTGATCCCCAGGCCCCATATTTGTTTCATATTATTTTTCAACAGGTGATCAGGCGCGTTGCATTAGCGTACGTCCACCATATGCCATCAAGATCCAACCATCAAACGCATCTTCAGCCAGATCCAATGCCTTTCCATTGAAGGTCCACCATGTACCCCAAGTCAACGTACACATCAGATCTGGCAAAGTCAAACAGGCCTTAG